AATTATACCGCCGGCCTGCCCGTAATACGCACCTCACCGGATCATGGAACTGCTTTTGATATTGCCGGCAAAGACATAGCAGATCCGACTTCTTTCCGGGAAGCCGTATTCCAGGCCATCAGCCTGCTGAAACAAAGGAACAATTATCTTGAATATACCGCCAACCCGTTACGCCGTAGCAATACGGAAAGGGAAAGGCCCAATGGCGGCGGCGGCAGATAGAGGCACATCACCTCCTGCCGGCCACCGGCAAAAAAATTGTACGTAGAAAATTTCAATTGCTTTTCAAAGCACCATCATTATCATTCATCAATGCTATATCCCCAAAATTCTAAAGCAAAATGGAAAGAGACGGCTATTTGAAAAGTATCTGGCAAGACGGCCAGGAATATTATCAGCCTTCTAACACTTGGAAAAAAGACATGGTTTATGATGTTGCAATCACTGGGGGGGGGATTACCGGGCTAACAACAGCACTCCTGTTGCAACAGCAAGGAAAAAAATGCATCATTGCAGAAGCCCATACCATTGGTCATGGGACTTCCCTGGGCACCAGCGCGCATCTGAACACCATTCTGGACACTTCTTATTCTGTCATTGAAAAGATGTTTGGCAGCAACGCTGCCAAACAGATCGCAACGGCTTCCCGCGAGGCAATTGATCTCATTGAAAACATCGTTAATGAGCATGATATCGACTGCCACCTGAAGTACCAGACCGGTTATCTTTTTGCACAAAACGACGATGAAGTACAGGAACTGGAAAGCCTTAAAGAAGCGGCAGAAAGAGCTGGCATTGTAGTCAACTGGAGCCCCCAGATACCGGCTCCTTTCAACTTTAAAAAGGCCTGCAGGATCGGTTTTCAGGCGCAGCTGCACATCGGAAAATATCTGGCAGGACTGGCTGCAGCTTTCGAAGCAGCCGGCGGTGTGATCTTACAAAACTGTGTGGTTTCGGCGGTGAAAGAAGCGGCGTATATATCTGCAGCAACTTCACAGGGCGAGGTCAAAGCAACCACCCTTGTTTATGCCACAGAGATACCGGACGATGCTACTCTCCTGCAACTGCGCTGCACACCTTATCGCAGTTATATAATGGCCTGCCGCTTAAACAATGATCAGTACCCCGATGGGATGGTCTATGATATGAAGGATCCCTACAGCTATTTTCATACAGAAGAAATAGACGGCATCCAATATCTTATTGCCGGTGGGTTTGATCAGACAACCGGCCATGAAGCAGATACAGAAACGTTTTTCACACAGCAGGAAGCTTTTTTGCGTGCCCATTTTGACATTGCGTCTATTGCGTATAAAGGCGCTTCAACCTGTTATAATACGGAAGACGGACTCCCTTATATCGGGCTGCTGCCAGGTCATGATGCTATTTATACAGGTACGGGCTATAGTGGCAACGGACTGGTATCAGGCACATTGGCGGGGCAGATGATCGCTGATGCAATTGCTGGGAAAGATAATCCATACGCTGACCTTTTAAGCCCTGCCCGTATAAAGCCGGTCACGAGCTAGGTTTTGTAAAACGGGTATTACTGGATTACACCACAACTTTCTTCGAAAACGGGGATCCTGCGCTCAGCGCAGGATCCCTGTTTTTTACCCGGAACCTATCCCCTTTTATAAGTATGAATGGCGATGGGCATTACACCATTGGAACACCTATTGTGGTAATTATCTGGCAGGCCGGAATCCAACTTTTTTGTGGCAAAAAGTTGGGCAAAAAGCCAGTCGGCAGCTATGACAGCTGCTGCCGACAAAGCAATGATTGGGCTTTAGGATTACTGTAGTGCCGGGCTGTTATCAAAGTATAAATTAGTTATCTAAACGATATTACACAAAACTATTGCACCTCATCCAGGCATTAGCTGTAACAGGATTGCCGTTGCCCTGAAGAAGATAAGGCAATTACGGACTGAAAACCGGGGCGATTGTTATGGGAAGAAATGGATGGCTGCTAAAAATATGCATCATCGTTTTAAACGCAGTAATGATCCTACCTTTGCCTGGTGAAGGATATACCCATAAAGGAGCCGTTCCGGCATTTACTGGAAAAACATCAGCTAAAAAAAACCAATGCCCGTCTCCAGGTTTTGGAGATCATTGCTCATAAAAAATCAGCCGTTTCACAACCGGAACTGGAACAAGCGTTAAAGGATGCAGTAGACCGGGTGACCCTGTAC